ATCTTTTTCTTACAGTGTTCAGGGAAAATATCGCAATGCATCGCAATATTTCAAGTATCATGATGCATCGTGATAGAATCACATCGGGGCATGTGAATCGTGATTCGAATCGAATCATGACTTCTTTGCAAATACCCACCCCTAGTCAGAACCGAGCTCGGCCTGGTTAACTGATCCGAACTCGGACCGGTCTCGGCATGGATCGGTTTTTCAAGGCTAGTGTAAATGGGGCTATATTTTCTAATAATCTCACTAGGGCTGACACAATAATTGTAAATAATCGATTATTGAAATGATGGTCAACTAATTAACTCATCGATTAATCATTACCTGGAGTATATAGATTATAAAACATGTCTTTAGCTGATAGAGAAACCCACTTAAAGGAGTAATTATACCAAAACTGTGAAATATATATTATTACTTTGCATTTAAGAAAGAAAGAAAAAAAAGCTTTAATTTCACCTGTAAAAAAATCTTTAAGGAACCTTTTCCTATCTGATTATTAATCAATTAAACATAATTATCAAAATAATCATCAGTTGAAGCCCTAAATCTCACCACTGAATGGTACAGTTTAAACCTTTATTTGGGAAAAAAGTTCCCTTGTGTTTTGCAGATACCCACCCCTCATTAAAGTACTCCGGATGGGACCAGGTCCTGTGCTGCTCATCGGGCATCGGCCAGTTGCTGCGCGTGTTGCTGGGGCGACGGATTTGCTGCACCTGCCGTTTCTGCTGCATGGCCTGACTGACGCCGGCCACATAACGTGCAAACTCTGGGTCAGAGCCAACTGTGCGTGAAAAAAAAAGAAAAAAAAAGATGAGGGGGGATAAACGCACATTAGTTTCTGACTCTCTCAGCTTTTCTCTTTGGCACCCAGCAGCCAGACTGTCGACGACGGCAGGAAAAATTACAAAAGCCATAAGTCAACTCTGAACACTGGGCTTCAGCTGCTGTCAAAGAGAGAAACAGACAAGCCCAACTCAGCACATTACCTCCATCTATCATCACACCCAGATGATGCAGAAAAACAGCTGCTCTGTGGATCCTGATAGATCCTTTAAATCAGGAAGTGGATAATTACAGACATGTTTACTAAATGGCTCTAAGATTCTGTTAGTGATGAGCATCAGATATTCTGTATGCAGACCCTCCTTGTTTATTGAACTGAAGCTCTGCAAACTAATTTCCTTTAGTGAGCTGAGAAAGGTTTCACTTTAGCTGAGAAAACTTCTATTGGGCAGAAAAAAAAAAATATTCAGTGGTTTGGATTTCAAAGTTCCACTTAAAACAAACAAACCTTGTGAACTTTACAGAATTGATCCCAATCACTGTGTTTCTGCTTTATTTACTTGTAGCATCCAGTTCATTTTTATTTTAAGATCTAAACAGCACTTGTGTGTTGTTGCTGCTGGCCTCACCTGCAGGGTCAAAGGGTAGCGTGTCTCCCAGGACTCCAAACATCCCCTCACTCTGGTCCCTGTTGGGCCAGGTGTTGTTGCGGGGCCCCTGTGGCTTCTGACCCAGCATAGCGGAGATAACGCTCTCCATGTAGGTGCTGTCCAGGCCCAGACTGTACAGGTCCGAGCTCAGATCCGGCAGCCCGGGGGATCCCCACTGGTTGATGGGGCCTAAGGGTGACAGGCCCGCCGGCGGGGCTTGTGCTGCAGACTGTTGCCCTGAGGTGGCGAGCCACTTGTTCGCCACCCTCTGCTGTGGTAGAACCTGCGGTGGGGTCTGCTGGGGAGGTGGGGCCTGTTGCTGGGTGATGGGCTGCAGCAGGTGCTGATAGTACTGCAGGGCAGGTGGGGAGGGCTGCTGAGGAGGAGGAGGGGCAGGCTGCTGCTGCTGCTGGGGTGGGGGGGGCTGGGATTGAGGCTGTGTCTGCTGCTTCTGCACTGATGGAGGCTGAGGTTGAGGCAGGGAGCTGGATGTGTAAGAAACAGACTGGGAAGCTGGTGGATGACCACTTGGGGGCTTGAGCTCCGCAGGGTTAGCAGAGGCCACAGAGTTCCTCCTCTTCACCAGGGGGGAGGCCTGCTGGGATTTGCCCATGTTGAATCCTGAGAGAAAGTCAATGACATCTTGCATCTCCTGGTCGGTGGGAAGGTTCATCCCCTGGTCGTCGCACACTGAGCCGTTAGCCAGCTGGTTCTGCTGGTTGGCGTCGGGGCCGCTGGATAAGCCGCCCATCGTTACGGCGCTCTGAAGCCTCCCGTTGCTGTGCCCGAGGCCTTTGGACTTGTCGTCAGAGCTACCACTGGAAAGCATGCTGCGGGATGGAGTGCTGGGGATGGAGTAGCTGCCTCCGCTGTTGGAGCTGGATGAGACCTTCTTGGCAAACTTGGAAGTCAGTTTAGATATAGTTTTTGGCAACCCGCTGGAGGTTTTGGAGCTGTTGCCTGTAGGCAGGTCTGCCTGGCCGACGTATTCTGGGCTTTCCCGCTGCAGCTGTATCTGAATTGTCGGCAAAGTCTGCTCCCTGGTTCGGAGAAAGACACAACCCGTTACTCACAGCGTTCCGGGCTTATCAGAGCAAGGAAAAACTACTTTCATGGGGGAAGGAAATTATTCAACATCCCCTTACTTTCTTTCTTTCCATCGGTTCATGTCAAACACTGCTGTGTAAAGAACATCGACCAATCCAAGCGTCTTCTCTGGGTCCAGGCTCCGCTGGAGCAGGGACATAGTGGCAGGGTCCTCCTTCAGACACCTGACCGATAACAAGACGGCAAAACATCAACATTTTAAAGGGCAGTGAAATAATTTGAAAAAAAAACAAACAAATGTAACAAACAATGTAATTAACAGAAACTAACTCTCACACTAAAATGGTTAAAAGAAGTCTAAGAAATACATGAAAAACAGGGACGGAAACGTTATTTTACCTTAAAACATTAATGCTGCTACAGGAACTGTTTTTTTGTTTTTACTTGTTCACTTCAATGTTCAACTTTTTAACTTATGAACCCTTTCCAACTTAATTTACAGTGGGTAGTAAAATCTCACCCAAGGTCTCATCCGATTGGTCAAATGCCAAATTGCCTAAATGAGATGTACTGCCACTTGGTAACATCTTTGATCGGCTGGTTATAAATCTTGTGCTTCTAGACCTCACTGAGGGAAGCGAGTGACTCCAATTTTAGGAGGTGTGCAAGTGACCAAAAACATCCATCAGTGTGTGTGGATAGACCCACCATGTCGAGGGGACCTGGACCACCACCTTGGATCCCTCCAGAGTGATGTGTGGAGCGTAGGCTTCCTTATTTTCAATCTGAGCTGTATCAACAACCACCTTTTGGGACATGGAAAGAAAAAAAAAACAATGTAATGATGCTTTTAAAGGTTTTACAACCACATATCAATTATCTTCAAAGATCATTAACATATTGCAGTAATAAGCTAAATCATTATGAATGACAGCAGTTTCCTTCAATAATGCTAACTCACTAGCAGCTGGTGTCTCCTGAGCAGAGAGAGGCGACTTCAAGGTGAAAAACCTAAAGCTTCTAACCAGACAATCGTCATTTCTTTCTGCTTGCTGTGAGCAAATGTTCCATCTATTTCCAAGTTCTCTAAAAGTAGCCTTGGCTCCTCGAAACCCATACAAGCTGGGTCACAGAGAGGGAGGGAAGTAGGGAGGAGCCCGTTTCCTGTTTTACAGGAAATGACTATTGTTTTTGTAGAGCAGGTGTATCCTTTAAAAACCTGCTTAGTGGTATTTTTTCCCCCTAAAGAGAGCAGCACAGATAATTCACCAGAAATTCATGTTAAAAACATGTTTGTCTTCTGATTCTGTGTCATGATGCAGTTTATACATATTTTTATATATTCTGAACAATTTAAAAGAATTAAAGTTAAGATTTCAGTTTTCAATCTAGCACCAAACATGGAAGTCCTGTGATTCTCAGTCCTCTGAATAAACAGTACTACTACTGCCATTTATCATGGAAACCATTTTAAGAGATTCTCTTATATAGACATTATACAGTTTCCAGCAGTGTTCCGGTTATTGTCCTGTGAGCTCTGCTGCACTGACAGCAAGTGTTCCACTAAGTGCAGGGTTTTTTAAGAAGTTGGGAACTGATCATTTGCATGAAGTGGTGTCTATTTGCAGCTTAAAGACGAAAGGCTGGGATAAGGAGCTAATGCTAAAGACTCATTCATCAAAGATTGTTTTACAGTTCGAGCTCCGCTGGGAAGGCTTGATGGGAACTCAGCTTTAACCCACCAAACAGAGGAGAAAAAAACTAACCTAAACACAACAATGACCCAGCTTCCTTTTCATTCCTTCTTTAACAGTAAAAAGGGAAAAGTAAATGCTAAAAAGCAGAGGAGCTTTGTTCATGGACCCGTCCAGGCAAGCCTTTCCTGCATTATGATGCTGCAGGAATGTTTTCTTCTTCTTTTGTTTCTCTGGTGTTTGTTTACACCTTGAAGCCATTAGAGTCCTGCTCCTCTGTTACCAATTTAAATAACAATGAAGACAAAGATAAGAAACTCAGAGCAACACCAAGGATTCAGTAACTATTTCCAGAGACCTGTTTGTAAGAATGACCACTTAACAGATTTTCTACAAAGTTAGGAGCAATGAACTCCAGAGGTTTGCTTCTCACCAGACCGGCCTGAGCGAACAGCAGCTGGACCGCCGTCTTACAGGCCCCCCTCCAGCTGGATGGGCAAACCTGATTGAGGACTTCAGTGACCGGAGACTCGTCCCTGGGGGTCATTCCGTTCTGTCCCAGCAGATCTTTAATGAGCTGAAGCATTGTTTGCTGCAGACAAAACACGCATGGACGTCAGTTTGGATGCCTCCTTTTAAACATCTGATGATGTTAAACTGGCTGTGGTTGATTGGTTTTTGTTGCCGTCTCCATAGGAAGAAAACTGGTATCCACATAGCAGTCCTCCAGTTAGCCGGCCGATATTCTGGTTTAAACAGCCACGTGATCAAGATTGTAATATAAATCCTACAATTTGGATCATTTTTAATTGGATGGTGGAAAAAGCTCTAATGGAGCATCTATTCATCAGCTGGATGAAAAAGGGCTCGAACACTTTTTACTTATTCTTTTATTATGAGCAGTTTGAAAATATTTCTGGAGGATTAAAATAGAGCAAACAATAACCGGCTGCTGTTTAAACATTGAGCTTAAAATGCATCATTTTTTGCACAACCGTGGCTATTTGAAAACCACAGCTAATTCTAGTCCTATTATAACTAATAACAATAAAAAAACTGCAGCAGTACAAATACCTCTGACGTTAGAAAGTTAACAGAAATACTTTGCTTCTATCCAATTTGTTTTAAAGTTTATGTAACACTTCGGTAAATAAGAAATGGGTCATTTTTCTTATACCTGATGCTTTTAACTACTATTTTCTGTTTGAGAAAACTAGTTTGATCAAGCCTTTTTATCATCACATTATGAAATAAGTAATAACGTTACGTATGAATCATGCTGACATCGTATCGTGTAAATACTCAAAGCTGGGTTCGTGTGACACCAACTTTTCTACTTTGAATTCCAACTTTTAGTTATGTTTACGCACGCCTTTACAATCAGATTAAAAGATTCAACACAACTTCTTGTGTTTGTTGTTACGACACAACAGAAGAAATGTTCAAATGTCTGTCAGTACGACGATAAGTGGAAAACTTGGTATTGACTGAGGTGGTTCTTGTTGCAACAGGAAATTGAAACATTCCTCAAAAACATTGAAGACATTTAAAAATAGAGTTTGCTTTAAATAAACTGTGAACATGACAAAGAGACATTATCAAACCCTTTAGGACCATAAATCAAACTTATATACAAACAACTCTACGCTTTGATAAATTTCTGTAAATAAAAACAAAAAACAGGCGGTACCGTTTTCAGTTTGAGGTTTTCAGCTGCTGACTCATTGAAGGAGACCCCTTTCAGGAAGTGGGAGCCGATCTGCACAGGGATGGTGGGAAGCTCACACTGGATGGGCTGGGAGGGGGTCTGCCTCCTGCCTGCCTGCTGAGCCTCAGCCTCATTGCAGCAGCCCTTCACATAAAACAGGCCAAACACGTTACAAAAAAATCCACCATGGTGGTAAGCTTGGAGTTAGTTTGCAAACAGCATCCAACTGATCTCCAATCTGCTTAAACAATTTTAAAACATTTTGAAAACAGTTTCTACCTGTAAGGCAGCCTCCACAGCTTTAGGGTTGAGATGAAAGCCGGCCTTCAGTGCATACTCACTATGGCCCAGGCTTTCCAGAGCTGCTCTGTAGGCCTTGATGGGGAGGAAACACCAGCAGCAGAGTAAATACACCAATACTGAATATTTGAGGGATAGATTTTAGACATTTTTTCCTGTTGCTTTTCATTATTGTACCCTAAAACTAAAATTAATCTCTTTTTTTAAAATTGATTACTGTAATGTTGTATTTTACAAAAACATAGCAATACAGCTGCCCAAACAGTGCTGGATCAAGACATATTCATGAAAAGTTGAGTAAGAAAAAAAAACATGGTGCCAAAATAGATAAATGCAGCCTAAAGAGGACTGGAAATCCCTTTGTAGACGGCTATTTATTTATAAAATTCTGTATTGGTCTTTTGTTCTACGTAGATTTCTGGAAAAACAGGATTAGGAGTTTTCAAGTATATAAAAACACTGAAAAATTCCTAAATGAAATTATCTTTTGTTGATGCCCTAATAAATCCACGCACTGTAACAGCAGGAGTTTGTGAAGTAAACTTAGGTTTGATGAAGCGGCTGCAGGCGTACTTGTAAAGCGCTGTCAATCTTCATGTTGAGCTCCTTCAGCTGGTGTTCAGGGATGGTGGTGTTGTTGGAGCAAAAGAGCTGCTGAACCTGGAGGCCAGCCAGGCAGCCGTCCCGGCCTCTTTCTCTCAGCCGAGCTGTGGCCTGAAGGCATAACAGCAGATTTTAACTAGTTTAACGTTCTGCTTACACATCTTAAGGTATCTGATATTTCTACATTAAGTAAAATAAACACTTTAGCTGCATGAATCTTGTCAGATACCGTTTTAGAGAACAAAGTTGTTGTTTTTTTTTTAAAGTGATTTGAAATATGACTGTTAGGTTAATTGGCCTTTCTAAATTCTCCTTAGGTTTGAGTGTGTTTGTCTCTGATGCCCTGAGATAGACTGGTGACCTGTCCAGGGTGTACCCCGCCTCTCACCCGTAGACAGCTGGAGATAGGCACCGGCACCCCTTGCGACCCCATCAGGGATAAAGCATGAGGGAAAAAATGGATGGATTTAAAAACAGCCTCTGTGCCCTATATGCAGTCCTTGTTTCTTCCAAGGCCATCATTTACCATGTCAGGGTTTAACAGATCAATCAACCTACTACTTTACTATGTACTCCTCTTTATACAACTAGACTTGAATGGGAGCCAGAGAGGCTGATTAGCCTGAGGATTAGTCGGCTCCTTTTACAGAACAGGCTAGAATTAGAGGGGCGCAGTCAAAGCTATGCAGGTTCACAGACGCGCTGCAGCCTGGCAGAGAGGAAATAGGAAATTGTGGCTGGAAATCTCACAGCTAGTGTTCATCAGGAATGTATAACAAGCTGCTTTTTGACCTCATACGACAAACCCAGTGTTTCCATGGCCTAGGACCTGGAAAGACTCCTGGCCTAGTGGCTGCATACCTCAGCTGCACCTTTCCATGAGCGAGAGGCTTCTTCCAGCTCCGTTAGGGGCCCCAGGTCGGAGCTTTGGGAGCGGGCGTTGACGCAGCGCTCTTGAGCCTGAGCAAGAGCCTCTGCCAGGCAGTTCTGGGCCACAGGCTGGACCTTTTGCAACGCTTGTGAAAGAAACTGGAAATGGACCTGCATCACTGTGACGAAGCACCGACCCAGCACCTGGACAGACACAAAAGCAGGCGTTAACCGCTACGAACATCATCAGGAAAACACTTTTTACAACATGAGGCAGGACTGCTGAAGAGACATTGTTAGAAACCATGGAAACAACCAGGAGAATACATGATGTACTGCATGGTTTGTTTTCTGATAAAAAATTTACCATTATGAAATTCAAATCAAAATATGTTAAAAATAAAAGAAATCTAAATCACGGTAGAACTAAGATTTTCAGGTTTACTTGTTAATGACTGATGACATTTTGCTGTAAAACAAACCTTATTCTCTGTATTTTTTAATTACAGAAGACTGAAAACATGCTTTTTTTCTCTCTTGACAATGTTTTCCAACAGTTTTGCACCATTAAACGCTGAATCATCACATTTGCCAACATCTGTAGCCACATGACAGTCAGCAGACTGTCATACCACTAATCCGTCTAATGATAAGGCTATGAATCATTCAAAAGCAAGTCTTCCTCTGAGGCCATTGCCCTTTCCATCTAATCAGCTCAGGTTATTTAGGAGATAGTAATGCTTTTACTCCTTTCTTACCATACAGTGCTTTCAAAATGATTCGGCACTTAGTGACCTACTTTCACGTTTCGTCATAGTAAAACAACTAACTGGTCTTATTTATTTAGATTTTAGACAAAGCACAGCATTGCTACATATTCCCTGATGGAGAATAAAAGAGTGTGCAAACTGTGGAATGCCATGCAGCTCTGGACGAGCTGCATACATCTAGAGCTCAGGTGGAAGAATCACTTCAGATTAATATGTCAAAGATTGGGAGGAAAAAAAATAATCCACCATTGGAGGAAAATTCCAGCATAAAAATTTCAGAGCAAATATTTAAATAAAAAAGTTCTAATCGGAAGTGTCAAAACACTAAATGTTTTATTCTATATGCAAAAAACATGGTAGGGGCAGCATCATGCTGTGTGGATTATTTCTGTCAGTAGAGACAGTAAAGCTGTTATAGTGAACTGCACTTAAGATGGTTCAGAATAAAAATTTTTAAAATAAACAACAAAATCCATTAGAGCAACAATAGTTTAGATTAAGAATGAAGAACATTTTAAAATATGAAAAACAAAAAGGTTGAAACTGATATTCATAAAAGCTCTCAATCCAATTTGACTGAAATTAGGTATTTTGGAAAGAGGAAAGGTTTCAAATATGGTGGAGACATTCTCAAAAAAGGACCAGCTACAAATATGCCACATCTTTTAGACTTCAACTCTTTTTGCCATGGAGAAACTCTCTTGGATCTGAGGCCTTGACTATATCCACAACAAGATGAAGGAAACATTTTTCACTTTATTTTTAACAATAATCCCTACGTTGCTCTTTTGATTGTGTCTGTACATCATTCTGGAAACTATTTGGAAAAACATCCAAACTGTGTTTGGCTGCTGAGAGAGTAGCTCTGCCTTGTTTGCTGGTTAGTGGAGGAGAAACAGGACACCACAGGGCCCACCATGGTCACAGGGTTTTTCTTTTTTCAGGTACTTGCTGAAAATATCTCAAGAGATTTGCTGAGCTGTGAGGACGGAAACATGCTGTCGTGTTCTGACAGCGGGCAGAAACAACAGGACACAGCCACTTTCAGGCCTCAGCACCGGACTTCATGAGAACCATAATTGTGCCGCGTAAATAAGGGGAGGCATATAATTCCACTTGTTGGAAGTTTCATTGTTATCATAACAAAGCTTACGGATTCATTACTGACAGAGGAATTTTGCAGCCTCATTCGATTTTTTGTTATTCCAACCGGGGCATTTCAGTAGTCTGTCGGCCATCTTTTTTTTTTTACTACGCTGTCTGGGCAAAGACAAAATAGAAAATCTTTCTAATCTAGGGATGCTTCTAAAACCATATATACCAGCTTATTTACTTCCAATTTATTTTCTCTCTCTCTCTCTCTATATATATATATATATATATATATATATATTCAACTAGAAGATAGCACTTGCTCACATCATGAAGCGGTCCTCTGGGGATGATTACCTACTTTATGTTGTCGGACACGTCGTATTTCACTCACTAGACTAACCCTGTCCTAAAACAGAACCTATGCTTTTCTAAACTTGTTTAATTACAGTTATTTTTTGATCTAATAAGGTCACAACAACACTTTTCCCCCCATAGAATGAAGACAGTTTGGGTAAACTTGTTGAACTTCATTTCATTATGGATTTTGCAGCAATACTGTCAGTACATAATGTCTTTTAATGAAATAGAATCAAGCTCTGTTTGATAGCTTCTCACACGCAAGGAGACATTCAGCCTAATAATGAGGCATTTAGGCTCATATCACAGGCTGCAGCATTCTCATTAAGATAAAATGCACAACTGCACCCGGATCAAAAACTAGTCCAAGTGTGTGAAAGCCTACAATAGCCAAGCAAACAGAAAAGAAAAAGGAGGACATGGCCGCAACACAGATAATGGCTAACACATGTTATTGGCTGCGCAGTATTTTACACAGACATGGAAAATATGAGAAATAAGGAGAGCAGCAGCCAAGCCGCTGTTGGCCCCTTCTGCTACCAAACAAGGCCACTCAGGAATCCATCACCTCAAGACGTCCATTTTCTGAGAACACCTGCACTATCAGAACACAGAGTCTTAGCTTGAGATGATAATGAGACCCAGATCGCTAAAAGGATGTTTTTATGATAACAAGATGACTGCATGGTGGGGTTGGAGACCCTCTGATCTTATTTCATGTTAGCAGCTCCAGACCCATCTTTGAATTGACATTTAACCAAGTTAACTGCCACTCCAAATTTCACTAAACTCTTAAAGGTTGTTCAACCAAAACATCTCTCATTAATTAAAAAAAGATATTCCCATACAGCATGATGCAGTTTACTGTTCTGTCCTGTGCATCCCGGGCCTGTCTCCAGCCTTTGATAGTCAACTAACCAATCAGGATTGATGGGCTGAGAAACTGAGTCAAGGTACCAGAAATGAGGTCTTAATCAAGGTAATTTCATTATGGTGTTGGATCTGTTTTAGGGCCCCTGCTGCTAAAGTATACTCCTTCTTTGTCCCATCTTGAGAACTCTAAAAACAATTTGTAATCCCTTTTATGCTTTTTAAAAATAAAATTTAAATCTCATGATTTACATAAGATTTCCATGTAAAAATAAATAAATGCAACCAGCAAAGACTATACTCCAGGTAATGGAAACTCCTGGTCCATCTCTTAGGTTTTATCTTCAGAAAACTTGGAAATATTTTGAGTAAAGCTATATGGGGATATCCCTCTTTACACTTCACGTTGTTAAGAAATACATTTTTATCAAGACATCATTAATGCAAGTGTTAATCTGCCCCCCCAAAAAATATCCCAGGAGCTCCTGTATGTTCACGTTTCCTCTGCCAGGATTTTGACAATACTTCTATCCTGACCACAACAGCTTCTCATCAACTTAAAGAGCAATAAAAGACTAAGGTTATTTTTCCAAACATTTATATCTAGATGGAAGAGCACTATGGAAAACAGCGTCAAAAACAAATTTCCTGTTATTTATGGGGGCGTCCTGCTTTAAAGTTTTCATTTCCGATACAATAAAGATATTGCAGCTTCGAGAATTGACCGACACTGACCCAATACGACATTAGCACAAATCATACATGCTTTTATAACTTATTTAGCAATGTGTAATGTTAGAAAAGCCTTGATCAAGTAATATGACTAAAACAGAGGACAATAGTCAACAATAGTAGGTATGAGAACAACTGACACATTTAGTATTAATCAATGCGTTTTAAATTTTATCATTGTGCTAATATTAGCCAATATTATTTCTTTGGCTAATTTTGGACTGATATCTGATATTAATATGGGATCGGGACACCCCTAAATTTATTTATACAACTTTTCCCAAAATTCTAATCTTACTTGTTCAAAAGTAACAGGACCAAAAATTTACACTAGAATCCAGTTAAATCGTAACTTTTCTCATTTAAACTTTGAAATTAGCTAAGAAATGCTGCAACACCAGCCTGTGAAGCAACTCTTTTACTTTTATTTCAGTTCCTATTTTAGTGGTAATTTTTTATTAAAAAAATTGCACACAGCATATTATTTATGTACATGTTCCTCAAAATATTAAAGTATCAGCAAAATAGGTCAAAGGAAATTACAACCAAAAATAATTCTCCGCTTCTCTAAAAACAGATCAAACCTAAAAATACCTAATAAAGGTAAGCCTAACAATTTATGAAAAAGGATGTTGGAAGCTGCAGGCCAATTAGGTTGACCACGGGGATGAGCGTGTGTTTTTCAGACGGCCATAATGCCTCCCCAGTTCTGTCTGCCTTAGGTCATATTTCAGAGCTGCAAACTTAAATGTTTCTCAAACAGACCCTACAAAGAAGGACATTTTCATGCATATTTGGCAGCATTGTCCCTCTGAGCTGCCAGAGAGCCACATTCCTTCAATAGAAAAGAAAAAAAGAGAAAAGGGAGACTTGAGCAAAAGAAGGAAAGAAAGAGAAAAGCTTCACATACCACAACTCCCCACACTCAAAAATCTATTTGGTTCATTTTGAGGACCTCACAGTCTGACCATTTAACAGACACGTTCCATGAATGAGGAACTCAAACATTCATGCATCTTTTATATCTGATATTAAAGCCTGAATCTAAATTTTATTCAACATGTCTTTGTTTTTATAAAAATAAACACTGAGAAGGAAAAAAGTGAATGCAAACCATTGGCTGCAGATGAGTCACCACCCAGCCATGCGGTTCCCTAATGAAGTCCATTTCACTGGGCAACTTTCTCTCTTTGGGTAAAAAGCAAAATACCATGACTGTTTCCATCCACTGTTCTTGTTTACATTTTTTTGAGAAAGTCTTAATTTACTGACATAATATTATTGTATATACAGAGTGGTTTTTATAAAAGTTATTCCAGCTTATAACCGAGCCATCCATTTCTACTGAAACAAATGTGCTATAAATGCCAGGGTCCAGACACCAAGTGCAAGTTCCAAGCTATGCGGTCTAAACTTTCACAGACTTGGCTTTCCTCTAATATTTATCTGTGCATATCCACAACCACAAAGAGTCAGATTAACTGACTGCGGTGCAGAAGTGTTTCCTGTTTGGGCTCAGCCACATCCACACAGATTCTGCAATCCTTCAACAGTCCTGGCTGCTGCTGTGCATCCCATGGCTGCAAATTGATAGTTTGGTTTTAAGATACTTCATCATGAAAGGGAAAATTAAAACACATCCCTCATAATTTTGTTTTATATTGTGATGTTTTAACCATACAAACCAACGGCTGCTCTTATTTTGTAGCAATGCAGACTGGATTAAGATGTTTTACTACATTTTGCTGTCGCACAGAGGGCCAAAATCAAAGGCAATCCAACACCAGTCCCTTGATAAATATCTTTAAATGTGATGATTAAAATACAATTTGAAACATATCTAATAGAAAATTTTTAGATCTGATGTTAAAATGTTTTTCAATAATAATTATATTTGTTAAAATCAGATGACCATTCAGTAGCTATTTAACTATTTCACAGCCTGGTGTTGCACCATGTTTAAATTTATTTTATTTTTTCAGCTTTATCTATTCAAAGGTGGGAGATTTGACAGACAACAGGATTGGCTGCTGTGCAAATTCACCAATGAAATGTTGGGAGGCCATTTTCTGAGCAACTTGGACAGCTTAGATTATTTTATGATGCAATCAATGACTGAAACAAATGTTCTGTTGGTAAAGATAATAAAGGCAAGATATTGTCATTTGTATGAAACCTAGGGAAGAAACGTAAATATATAAATCTAAAAAAATAAAAATAAAAAAAAATCAAAAGTTCATAGTATTTGGTTTGAAAAGCTCTGAGATTATATTTTTAAGACATATGGCCCATCCCTACATTGCAGCAGACATAAAAATGTATATGTCTTATTTTGACGTATTGACATATATAATAAGAGTTATCTTTTATTTATTCATTTAACAGATGTATTACACAATTAACCACCACAAGCAATCGTTAGCTGAAATAAGCATAGCAAACATGGATGTTTTGTATATTAAATGTACCTTTTAAAAGTAATCCTTATTTATCTTTTTATCAATTTTAAGAAAAAAAAAAATCATAATTAAGGGAAACCGAAGCTTGAAAAACAGCCTGTGTGTAATTATTCTATTTAATGTCTTCCACTACATAAAATATTATAAATGACATTTTTAATATTTTCAATTTTGGAATTGCTCTGTATGCAATTTTTTCTATGGAGTGTCAAGATTATTGTATCTATTCAAATATACTGTGGTACTTGTTTAACACTAATCAGAAAGTAAAGATATTCCGTCTCATTTAATCTCTGAAATCAAGATTACTTTTTAGTGCTCTCCAAGTTTAAAATAAAATCACTGTAACTTTCGGTCTTAGCCGTATCTACTTAATCCAAAGTGTCTTTATCCATCACAAAAGCTTAATCTGTGGAACGGGGCAGAGCATCACAGGTCATCTTGCATGTCTTAAAATCCAGAGGCTACTAGGATTTGGTGCCAACTTAGAAGTGCAAAAAGCTCCAAACACATTGTATTCAAAAACATGAACAATAATAATAAAAAAAAACGTTGATTACTAATAATAAAGACTCAAATTCAGAAAAATTCTGTAGTTAACTGATATTGGGACCTTTGAAAGCCAAAGCGAGTTGTAAAATGCTTTAAACTTATGAATCATTTGGCCCAGATGTTGCTGGGGCCCCTTGAAGACTGATGTAGTAAACTGTAATGATCCCATGCTCAAGGCTTGACAGTGTCAACATAACTTGTTCAACCTGACTTCATGAACCCAGTGACCTAAGCTTTAAGTGGGCTGAATGTACCGGTAATCAAGATCTAGAACAAAAGATCAAACAGCGGTTTCTAGGGGACCTCCCTCCTAATCTGATCTAATCTGCGTCGCCCCCATTCATAGAGTGCAATATATAAAATGCCCTGGATGTCATTAGAAATGAACAAGACTGCCTAGTCTAGGACTTCAACTAACTTTTGATTATTTTGCAAACGGATTAATCTGTCAATTTGTTTTTCAATTTATTGTTGGCTAGTCAAAGATTCCTTAGAGAAGATTTTTAACTAAATTAAACCAGGTGGAACAACCTTTTCCAATGAAGGAGTTCTGCTTAGAGTATATTGACAGACAAACCTTTTTTTTTCATCTTAAATGCAAAATGTTTCATATTTTTTTACAATCTTGGTATACTTACTGCTCTGAGTGGGTCACCCTGTCAGCTAAAGGCATGTTTTAGAGTCTCTATACTCCAGTTAATGAATAATCGATTACTAAATTAGTTGAAAATTATTTCAATAATCAATTAATCACAATTAGTCAGATTAGATGTTCCAGCCATACCTATATCCCATTTAAACTTTGTTGTTTTAAACCCATTTAGTTAATATATTGTTTATTCTCCAAAGAAGTAACCTCAGCGTACAATATCCGCCTCCATATCATCAAATGCAAGCCTGCAGATACGGTGCAGTCTTTATGGTAGCAAAATGTGGCGGCTATTCTCACATCCCTCTTGTTTTTCACGCCTCACCCTCAGAGATGCTGACACTGGGCGTAAGAGCCCTATTTAAACCAGGAAACACTCATTCATAGAGTCCGCCTTATGACAGCCTAAGCCTCTTAGCACAGCATCCCAAAGATAAAACATGAGTAAGATATAACATGTATGTGATGCTATGCTGCACTCATTCCAACAGAGTCCCCAATTAGGACAATTACAGTGCTGCTTGAAAGTTTGTGAACTAGTTGAGTAGTTTAGATTTTTCTTTATTTTT